GTATAAATATGAAATGAGATCAAATTAAAAGAACATTTATATATTATGCCTTAAATTTTAGTTGTTTATTTGTTATATATATATATATATATATATATATATATATATATATATTATACATAACTATTTATCTTTTTATTAATTATCTTATATATATGATATCAAATTAAAAAGTAGATTAAAATAAATTGAACTAATAAAATAATATGTCAACAACCAACTCAAACTTAAACAGGTTGGGTCAACCCCAATGGCACACCATTCAACATATAGTGGCTTTCTTCTTCATTTAAAACTTCTTCAATGATGACATGTTAGGTGTGTAAAATAGACAAATTTGAATGAATTTGAGCAGGTTTTGAATTGAATTAATAAATAAGTGAGCCATTAATTCGTTCAAAGTTACTTAAAATTTGAAATAAATTATAATGCAGATCGTAACTTAATTCGTTCAATTTTAAAATTAATTGAATTATATAGCAATCAAATTTTTAATGACCTAAAATAAATTAAGTTAGGAAATGGACAAATTAATAACTCAACCCAAACTTGAATGGATTGAACGAGCAGGAAGGATCGGGTTGATTTTGTCACCCATGATGGCACATAATTCAATGAATAGTGGGCTTCCTTATTCATTTAAATATTTCTTCCGTTTATTTTTATTTATTCATTATAGTAAAAATAAATACATTTTTTATTTTGTCCGATAATAACAACATACAAATATAATCACAAAAATAAGGTCATAGAAAAATGACGTGGATGTAGTCTTACCTCTTAACTTATGAAAATAGAGGTTGTTTTCTATATACTTGTCTAGTTTAAAAGATTAAGAGATAATTTACTGTTTTATTTTTATTATTAAGAAATATATATTTTCCAATAGTAAAATAATTTATATAAATTAAGAATGATTTAGTAAAATTATAATTTTGTTTATTACTTCTTAAGATTGCATTAGATTAAAGATGACAAATAAATATGAATAGAGATGATATAATTTGTGTTCATCATTTGAGATATGAGTTCGATGAAACTAGTAACTTTAGTTCAAACTTTATACTCTAATTGTCCCCAATTACTTGTTCAACTTTTATTTTTTTACTTGTCCATTTTGATAAATCAAGAAAGGACAAATATTTTTTACCTATTATACAAAGAACAAACAAGCAACTTTCACATATAGCAAACATAAAAATCATATTTGTATGTTATACCTATAGTTTGTATAATTGCGCTCCATAGCAAACTTTATATTTGTTATGGCTATTAATATGTATATTTCGCTATACATATACAAAAGAAAGCAATTGTATAATCTGTTTCGGTATACATATACAAAAGAATCAATTGTATAATTTGTGTTTGTATAAAGAAAGAAAGAGAGAAACACAAAAGAAAACTGGGCAGGGGAAGATCATATTTGTATAATCATAAGTGTATAGGACTGTATCATCTCGCAATTTGAAATAGCTAGGAAGAAGCTAAGAACTTGAAATAATCGTTTTTGGAAATAGTGACAAATCTGGAAATTTGTTTAAGTTAGGAAAAGTGAGTTTTTGGTCAACTTCAAACGGCCATAACTCCTAGCTCAGGATGAGTTAGGTGTACTTCCAGATATGGTTGGAAATTTCTTGGAATGATCTTTCCAATGCCACCGAGTTTGCGCGATTCCGAGTTCTTATGAGTAAGTTATGCCCTTTGGAAGTTGGGCTGTTAGATTAAGGAAAGTCTAATCCGGGTTTTGGAAGGGTAAACTAGTCTTTTTCTTTACCTAATTTGCCTATTTCGTTTTTAGGAATTAATTGGGGTAAAACAAGACTTTATTCAGTTTAGAAAATAAGAATTTACGTTAGGGCTTGGAGAGGAGAAGAAAGAAGAGAAAAGAGGAGAGAAATCAAGAAATCGCCAAGAACGTTCAAGCTTTGCGAGTGGAATTCGTTGGGGGTGATCCCTACAAGGAATGTGAGATCACATAGTGCTGGGTTAGTTCACCCACACGCCAAACTTGTTTCAATTCAGCAAAATTGGAGTTGTTTGAATGTTAAGAAAGTGAAGTTCTTGATGAACATTGTTGAAAGATTTATTGAATTTCTTATGGGTTGTGTTGTTGGAGTTCTTGCGATTTGATTCACGTATTCGGGTGTAATTTTGGTTTGAATCTAACATATATTGAGAGTATAAATGATTCTAACTGTTTAGGAAAAGAACCATTAGAGTTTAGAGGGTTAGAGATGAAAAACGGAGAAGAAAAGTCGCCAAACACCTAGGTATAGGGGTGGGGCGTCGCGCCAGCGAGCCCCAGACCAGTCCCTGAATGTTGAGGGCTGGCGCCCCGCGCCTCTCAGAGCGCCAGGGATGCCAGTTCTCCCCATTCGCTCCCCACCTTTTCGTACTTGTTCCTTAGCAATGTACCTATGTTTTCTAGTTGATTCCAACACTCTAAGGTACATCTAAACATCATGAAATCATCCAATACATGAGATCATTAACCTTGAATCCATAATCCAATTCAAGTAAAGTTAAGATCAAAGTCAAAGAAGTCGAGAGTCAAGTCTAGAAGTTAAGAAGCAAGTCAAAACAAAGTTTCTTAAAGCTTTCAAAAGTCTTTAACAATGTTTTAAATTCATTTTAATACTCAAGTTTTCAAGTTAAGCAAAGAGTAAAGAGTTGAGTTCATTTCTCAAAAAGCTATAAGGGAACTAAGTATTCCCAAGGAAGTTTATAAATGTTTTCACATTTGAGCAAGAAAAGGGAACATCGATTCCAAGAGAGCTTTTAAGCTAAGTTTTGAGTAATTATCTCAAATCAAAGAAAGAAGTTTGTTTTTAAAACATATGAGCTAAGTATATTTTTGGGAGTAGTATTGAGCACCGATATGGGGATGGGAGTTCATATTAACTCAAGTCTCCAAAAACCATGTAGCCATCATGGGTATTAATAGGTCATACTTTTTAGATGATTACTTAAGTTAAGCTAGTGGATCCACTAAGTTAAGCGTTCTATATGACGGCAAAGTATATGACAGTTCTGGCAGCGTGGGCAAGACGTTGTATCATCACTTAGGCTCATAGTGATGATTATCGGTTAGAGAATCTCCCACAGAAACTATATTATTTTATTATATGAGTAAAGTTGAGTTTGTTATTGCATTTCCTTTAACGAACTAAGCTGTTTTTACTGTTTTATAAAGATTTTTCATATATTGCATGTATTCATTGTTTTATTCTGAGTTAAGTTATTCATGAGTTGAGAAGAGCCAACGTAAGTGTTTCTTTCAGAATCTTTTCAAGCCTTTGTATTTGTTTAGAATTCTAACTCGCATACTTATACATTCAATGTCTGATGCCAGTTGGCCTGCTTCGTCTTATGATGCAGACACAGGTAACCAGGATCAGCATCCAGTGCCTCGTTGATCCAGCTTGAGCACTCAGAGTCTGTGGTGAGCCTTCTTGCATTCGAAGGACTCCTTTATTTGCTTTCTAGTCCTTCATATGTTAGGATGATCGGGGGTCCTGTCCCGACATCCCTCTTTGTTTTAGAGGCTTCATAGACAATTAGTAGTCAGACGTCTTTACATTATCATTTCATATGTTAAGACTTGAGTTGTCATTTTGGCTAAGTTGAATGTTGACCATTAAACATTATGAGTTATTTCACTAAAGTTATTTGAGTAAGTTCATTTGATTATAGTAAAATTTTAGAGTCTTTCGCTGAGTCAGTAAACCAGGCCAAGGGTTCGCTTGGGGCCAGCAATGGTCTTCAAGTGCCGGCCACGTCCAGGGTGTAGGCTCGGGGCGTGACAAGAACGAAAATATATGTACTTGTATTTGTATACACAATTTTCTTTCACTTTATACAAACACAAACACAATTTATACATTTGTGTTTGTATAAACTGAGAGAGGCGAATGAGAGTGGTGAGCGAGATTTGGGAGAGTGGCGAGCAAGATCTAGTAGAAGGGAGAGAGGGAAACAAAAATATATGTATATATACAATTTTCTCTCGCTTTTTACAAACACCAACACATTTTATACATTTGTGTTTGTATAAAAGCGAGAGAGGCGAGGGAGACTGCCCAGCGAGAATGAGAGTGGAGAGCGAGATTCACCAAGGAGAGAGGCAAAATAGCAACAGTTTGCTATGGGGTACAGTTAAATCAAACTATGGTTATAGCATTTAATTTAAATTAATAGTTTGCTATTATATAGAATTTTCCCAACATTTTTTACCTATCATACTCTCAATTAATTACTTTGAAAAAGGTAATACTTTTTGAAAATCATAACTTTTTAATTCATCCACTTCATTATCAATAGAGGTAAAATGATAAACTTACTATAATCATTGTTTTCTTAATAGGTGTGTCAATTCAAAGTGGACAAGTAATTAGGAACAAGCAAAAATATAATTTGAAATTACATTTATTTTATATAAGTATATATTTAGTGCCCAATAGATAAAAATCCAAAATTCATAAATTAAAATTTTAGTTTCGCCTCTTGTTTTTTTCTCAAGTTAAGCGATCTTGAGATAGTAGAGGATTGTTTATATTTTTCTATTTTTTTAAATCCTTTTAAAGGAGATTCTACCCTTTTTTTTATTCTTTTGGTGACTCGAATTCATAACATTAGGTTTGAGATGAGGGGAACTTCCTATTCGAGTAACTCCCTATTGTCCTTTTTTAAATTTTAATTTTAATTTTTTTACCTCTACCTAGAGCTTTCCATTCTTTTCACTTTCTTGATGACTCAAACTCACAATCAAAGTGAAAGATTCTTTACATCCAAGCAACTCCTTGACATGAAGCTTATCTTATTAATTAATGAATAAGCAGTATACACAAAAGAAGGGGGACATAAACCAAAACCTCTTTATTCAACTATGTATACATAAATAGAAAAAAAGTGGTCATGAAACATCATAACAAAAATACAGACTCTAACTTCATGATCAGATAGGAAATTTTGGATTGAGAAGTTTGACGGTTGTTGTTGGCTAGCTATTGATAAGGAGTGGCAATCAAGTATAGGTTACTTTTTCTAGCACAAGTTGATCCAGCAGATTCAGTTAAGTCCAATTCACTTGAATTGATTCCATTAGGAAGTTTCCAATCAAAGTGATACAACAATTGAGCCAATGGAAAATAAACATTAGCTAAGCCAAATGATATTCCGGGGCAATTCCTTCTTCCACTACCGAAAGGAAGATACTCAAAATTGTTACCAACAAAATCCATAGAGTTGTCCTCAAATCTTTCAGGTTTAAAACTTTCTGCGTCATTCCAATATTTAGGATCTCTTCCAATAGCCCATGTATTAACCATAACTTTTGTTTTAAAAGGAATAGTGTAACCGTTTATGTCTACTTCTTCCCTACATTCTCTTGGAAGCAAAAGGGGAAACGGAGGATGGAGTCTGAAACTTTCTTTAACGACCAACTTTAGGTATTTCAATTCTTCGACATCATTTTCATCAAAAGTTTCTTTACCTTTAAAGGCGTTTCTTACCTCTTCTTGAGCTTTGGAGAATACATTGGGATTCCTCATCATTTCCACCATGGTCCAATCAATTGTTGCTGATGAAGTTTCTGTTCCCCCGCCAAATATGTCCTTCATTTATAAACAAGTTACAATATTATATTATCTTCTCCCAAATACAATAACAATAAGGAGGGTATAGATTATTTCATATATACTTACAAGAATAATAGCTTTGATATTGTCATTGGTGATTGGAAATTGATGGCCTCCCTCTTTCATTACTCTTAGCAGTGCGGCAACTAAACCTTCACCTCCTAATTCACCATTGTTCTTGTGCTCATTGATGATGTTTTCAAGAATGACGTCTAATTCATGGTGGACATCCATAATTTTACCTTTCATTCCACATAACACATGAAGAAATTTTAGTGATGGAAATATATCAGCCACATCAAATCCTTCCGTTAACTGTGACACCTTTTTGATCAATAGTATAAGTTCATCTTGCTCTTTGAATACTTTCCCAAATGCTGATCTACAAGTCATAGAGCTCGCAAATTGAAAAATCCTTTTTGTGGCATTAACTGTCTCACCAGAAGATGATCGAAAAAATTCAATCATACGAAGAACTTCATCTTGTCTAATAGAGTTGAATGACTTGACATTTTTGGCACTAAGCAATTCCATGATGCAAATTTTACGCATTTGTCTCCAGTAATCACCATAAGGAGAAAAAACAATATCGCTCCCATTATAACAAACAATCTCGGCGGCAATAAGCATGGGCCTAGATGCAAATGCGAGGTCATGAGTTTTTAGTACTTGTTTGGCCATTTCAGGAGAAGTAACAACAACTAGAGAAACTTCACCTAATTGAAGGTGTATAATTGAACCATATTTTTTGGCTAAATCTCTAAGGACACGATGTGGAGGTCCACCTAACAAATGAAACATGCTTCCAATTAAGGGTAGTTTCCATGGACCAGGAGGCAATCTTTTTCTAATTTGGGTATTGGAATTCTTCCAATATTTCAATAACCAAAAAAGGAAAGACACAAAAAGGAAAAGGGAAAAAAAGTTGAAGAAGTGCATATTTTGGGAGGGTTATTTGGATTGATAGGTTATGAAAAGTGTTGTTGCATATGTCTTATCTTTTATAGGCATGATAAGAAATGATGTATTTTTTAAGTGAAGATAAAATAGAGAGAGAGTACGACTTGAAAGAACAATAATGACAAGAAATGGAAAAATATGTATACCTTTGTTTCAAAACAAGTGTAGTCTTAGGTTATTTTATGCTCATTAAAAAATAATAATAAAAGGTATAATTTTCTAAATTTACCTCTATTCATTAGACGTTTTTTGAAAATTAAACATTATTAAAAAAAAAAACTTCTTAAACAAAAATATAATTGAAAACAATTTCTTTTTTTTCCCAATGATAAAGAATATTGTCAATTGTGGCTGCTAGAATGTTGATTTTAATATTGCCATCACCAAAATGTTTTCAATGATTTCATTCCACGAATAGGACTTGCCTTCTATCCTTTCACACTTCAATGTATTCGAGTCGAGGGTCTTCCAAAAAATACCTATACGAGTATGATTTGCGGAAATTCAACCATCTTCAAATTTTAGTTAAAATTTTACTGAGTATATTATTATTGTTGATTTTGAAAAATATCATCTAATTTGAACCGAAATGAGTTTTATTTTGTTCTAATTTTTCTCATTTTGGTTTGATATTTCAATTATTTGCTTGTGTCGTATAAATAAACATATATATGTAATATAATCTGAAGTTACATTTGAATGACCAAAAAAAAAAAACATAAAGTCACCACTGAAGTTGTTTCAAATTTTCAAAAAAATATTTTAACTTTGCAATGTTCTATTACCCCACTAAACAATTTTAAACATATATTATTATATCATTTTTCGTTCACGTGACATAGAGAGTGGTGTGCACTCTCTCAAAGAGAGTGATCAACCTAAAATAACTTATATAATTTTATTTTTACAAGTATTTTATTATAAAAATATATTTTCTTATTTTTCTTATTATTTTAACTTTTATTTTTTTCTCTTTCTTCTTTCTTCTTCAAAAATTAATTGTCATCTTCATCCATTGAAGCTTCTCACTTTCAATGTCACCATTTTTATCACAACTTCACCTTTCTTTTTTTACTACTATTAGTTTTTCTCTGTTTAATTTTAAAGCTTTATCTAAACGTTTTCTTCTATTTCGAACAATTTGATAAACCCATTAGATTTCAAGATGATTAGGAAGTATCATATAATTTTTTTATCTGATTTCAATTAAGTTTTTTCAATTTTCGGGGGATTCATTGATTCTTTTAAAATTATTATTTCTAATTTTGAAGTTATATGAAAAGGAGTAGTTGATGATACCTTCAAAATTTTAAATTTTCTTAGAAAAATAATTAATTTTGTTATCAATAATTCAATAAAGTCAAAAAAAAAATAGTATGAATTCTATAAAGAATTTGACCAGAGAAGAAAAAGAAAAAGAAAGAAAAAATTATGGAAAAGAAAGAAAATGGAGGGATGAATCACTTGAAAGTGAGAGGTGGAAGATGAAGTAAATTTAAGATAAATCAAAATTAAAATGAGTCAAAAAGTAAGAGAGAGAGAAATAAAGAAAAAACTTAAAATGAAAAAAATTACATTTTTAATTAAATTAACATGTGTCGTGTAATGATTGGTATGTGAACACACTTGCTTCTTAAAATATGAGTTGATCGAAAAATGATATAATAATATATGTTCAAAATTGTTTAGTGGGGTAATAGAACGATTGCAAAGTTAAGATGTCTATTTTGAAAATTTCAGACAACTTCAATGGTGACTTTATATCTTTTCTAAAAATAAAAAAAAACTACTATAAATTAAAGAATGGAAAGTCTAAAGAAATCTCTTAAATATTTATTCTAATAAAATAACAATACATGTTTTTTTTTATAAAAACATAAAATGAAACAAGTCAACAAAAGTAAACCAGCACACCTAATATAAAAAAGCAAAACAAAATACCCCTTCCGTCCACTTTTAATTGTCATAGTTTTCTTTTTAGAGTCAAACAATAAGAACTTTGACTAACATTTTACGATGTAATTTTTCATCATATTAATATGATGAAATTTATAATATTTTTCATATAGTTTTTGAATATCTAAATTCGATGTTTAAACTATCAAATTTATGTAATTTAATTTAACTTTAAAAATTAATCAAATTGGCATTCAAAAGCGCAACATGACAATTAAAAATGGATGGAGAAATATAAATTATCATTTAATGCTAGTAGATTTCTTTATTGATCATGATCATGCACCAAGAATAAGATATGTTATTATATCATATTATATGTAAACATAAGAAATAGAGAAGACAGCATAAAAAATGAACTTTATGTTGATGTTATCATTGGTGATTGGAAATTGAAGGCCTCCCTCTTTCATTAATCTTAATAGTACACCAATTACCCTTCATTCCACATAATTATACATGAAGAAATTTAAGTGATGGAAATATAGATCAACGACATCAAACCCTTCCATTTAGCGTGACCCTTTTTTAACTATTTATATAAGTTCGTCTTGCTCTTTGAATACTTTCCCATATGCTGATCTACAAGTCATAGAGCTCACGAATTGAAAAATTCTTTTTGTTACATTAACTGTCTCACTTAAAGATGATTGAAAAAATCCAATCATACGAAGTACTTTATCTTGTCTAATAGAACTAAATGACTTAACATTTTTGGCACTAAGCAATTTCAAGAGACAAATTTTATGCATTTATCTCCAGTAATCACCATAGGGGGAAAAGACAATATCGTTACCATTATAACAAATAATCTCGGCAGCTACAAGTTTAGGCATCGATGCAAAAGCGAGATCATGAGTTTTTAGTACTTATTTTTTACCATTTAAGGAGAAGTAACAACAACTAGAGAAACTTCACCTAGTTGAAGGTGCATAATTGGACCATACTTTTTGGCTAGATCTCTAAGAACATGCTTCCAAGTAAGGGCAATTTTTTTCTAACTTGGTTATTCGAATTCTTCCAATATTTCATTAGCAAAAAGAGGAAGGACACAAAAAGGAAAAGGGAAAAAAAGTTGAAGAACATATTTTGGGAGAGGGTTATTAATTACTCCCTCCGTCCCTTTTTATATGCCATTCCTTTCTATAAATAGTTGGTCCATAATATTTGTCATTTCATAAAATCAATGCATAAATTATCATATTGTTTCCTTTTTATCCTTGTGAGTTATTAGCCTTGAAAATATACATTTGACTTACTTAGAAAAGCTAAGTAAATGATTCATGTGCATTGGTTAAATTAATTAATCAAAATAAATTAATTCATATTCATTGATTGAAAACTTGAGTTCCAAAAAAATTAAATAAAAGTAGAAGGATAAAGTTACATCATTTTTCTTAATGCAAGTGCAAAGTAAAAAGGTGATATAAAAAGAAATGGAGGAAGTAATTTGGCTTTAAAAGTCCTGCTAGGTGTTGTTACATATGTCTTGGCTTTTATAGGTTGGCAAGAAACAATAATTAATACTTCCTCTATTTTAATTTATTTGTCTTACTTTTCTTTTTAATTCATTTCGAAAATAATCTTTATTTTTTTGATAATTTTTAAGTTTAATTTTTTACATCGCATATTTAAGAGCACAAGATTAAAAATATTTTAGTATATTTTATAGGAAAAAGGGTAAAAAAAAATGCCATTAAACTATGTGAAAGGAACAAAAATGTCTTTCGTTTATAGTTTGGCTCAAAAATGCCCTTACCATCAACATTTTGGTCCAAAAATGCCCTTTAACTATGCGAAAGGAGCAAAAATGTCTTTTGTTTGTAGTTTAGTCCAAAAATGCCCGTCAATACTTGGGTCAAAAATGCTCTTATTGTTATTTAATGGGTCAAAAATGCTCACTTTCCAAATAAATATATTATTATTTTCTTTTTAACACATTCTTTTTCTAATAATGTTTTTTTTAAATTACCAAATGTTTATCTTACTTCTATTCAGAAAAAATTAAAAAAATGAAAATATTTCTTATTTTATTATCATTATTTTTTATTGTTATATAAATATAAATTAATGATGGATATACTATGATCTTATATATATGCCATATATTATCTGTCGAAAGGGTACATGAAGTTTTTATATTTTAATTGATAAAATGAGATTAAGAATAAAAAAATATTTCCTACATTTTTATTGGTTAAAGTGGTTTTAGAAGAAAGAAAACAAGAATAGTGTTCTTTAATAATATTCTAAGGGATAAGGTCTAAAAATACCCCAACTTTGGTCGAATTTATTGTTGCGTTACTAAACTTTTATGAGGACCTATTACCTCCCTAAACGACCCTCTATCGCCGGAGAACAACAACGCCGTACGTGACCCACCAGAAGCAAAGCCGCCACGAGCTCGAAGCTCAAGCGAACAATAACAACAACCATCGACGGCCAGTCCTTTTCCCTTTCACAATGTTCTTTTGTTTTCAGGTGATTTTAGCTCAAAATCGACGAGCTCCAGTAGTTCAAACCTCACAATGTTTCTGCTCAGTTTAATGTAGTGCTAAATGTTGATTAAGGTGTCGTTTTATATTTTATTTCTAAAGTTGTTATGTTTTTCTTATTAAGTATAGTATTCTGCTAATTTCATTTCTTTATTGTGTTTTATATTTATTTTTTATTTAAGTTAATCATTTTGCTGCTCTATTTTGTTTGTACATGATTTGTTTTAATTTATTGAGATTGACTACATGCATTTTAGTTTAGAATTTTCAATGAATCATGTTGCTACGGTGGTTCTCATTTGGTTATTTGGTATATTGATTATCATTTGCTTACTCATTTCTGTTGTGAGTGTTATTTCAGCATCGTACTAGTATTGATTTGTTGCTACTTCTTTTATTGTTATTATTATTTTATCTTGATTATGTGCACTTTTTTCATTATTATGGCTACAGTGCTTAGTCTAGTTGTTATTTCAATTTCCATTACTTGTATATTTATTTTCTTAAGTTGATTTATATTTTGCACTA